GGTCAGGGGAAGCTGTGTGGAGACTAAGTCTTCTTTCTGCTCAGGGCTGGGCTGACGCTGACCCTGAGGCTGTGCCCGGGGACCCGAAACAGGGTGAGGCTCTCTGCAGGCTGAGCAGGCAGCAGACCGCTCTGATTCTCCCGGAGGACACCAGACAAAGGGTCGTCCTGCACCCCAGGCAATGCACCAGGCACAGGTCTCAATTCAGGTCATCAGTGCCCGAGGGCAGGTGACGTGGAGGCTGAGACAGCATTGGCCACCAGGGCCACAGGCTTCGGGATGCCTGCTGCTCCTTTGATTCATCCCTCAAAGCTGGGACCTTTTAAAATACGAGTAGGGCTGGGGTGATGTTCAGTGGCGCAGCATGGCCAAAAGCCATGGGTAAAACCCCAGGCGGATTGAGTGGATGGATGAATAACGGTCATCGAGTCTCCCGCCCGCCTGGGAGCCCACTGATGCCCCCTGGTGGTCATGCTGCTCCTCGGCCCGCCAAGCAACACCCGGGCCCTCTCCCCTCGCCAGCCGGGCAGAGCCCAAGAAAGGGGCAAATTCACAGCGGATTTGCAATCCCAGCTCTCCAGAGGCTGAGGAAGGAGGATTGGAACTTCAAGCCCAGCCCGGGCAACTTAGTGAGACCCTGCCTTGAAATAAAAAAGGTCTGGGGACATAGCTCTGTGCCAAGGCCCTGTGTCAATTTCCAGCACCAGGGAAAGAAAAGTGCCATTCCAGGGTGCTAATGGAGTTTTCATTTGACAGAACCTTGAAAATGCAACAAAAAAACCCACAGGGAGTTCTGGGGTCAAAGTTCCGAGATGAAGGAGTTTAACAAAAATCTTCCTGAGGCAGAACGGGGCATGTGGGCTGGGGTCTGGCCGCTGGGCTTGGAGCTCCTTCCAGGGCGACCCTCGTGCCAGCCGCACCCCCCCCATACAGTGACTCATGACACGGGATGCCTGGAGGGGGTGGGACGGCTCCGACTCCTGCAAGTTTATCCCCAGTCCTGGGCGCTCTGCATGTGGCCTGCGTGTTCTAATCCTCCCCAGCTCTCCCCCCTCAACTCCCCTCAGGCAAACCCAGGGGACAAAGGTCCTCAGCCCTTTTTGATTTTGAGGCATGGTCTCACTAACTCACCAAAGTGCTCAGTCTGGATTTGAACTTGTGATCCTCCTGCCTCAGCCTCCCGGAGTGCTGGGAGAACAGACAGCACTATGCACTGGGCTTCATGACTACCTCTGTCCACAGGGAGGGGCACAGATGTCCCTCCAGGTCGCAGCCACACAGAAGGTGTCACCTCTGTCACCTGGCCCAGCCCTCCCTACATGGCCAGCAATCAGTTCACCACACACACAGAAGAAAAATAATTAATTTATTAAGTTAAAACAGCACTTCGGCCTCCTCCCAGCCAGTCAGGCTCTTCACAATTCTGAATGTGCAGAAACTCAGTGTGTCACGGCACAATTGGAAATTTATAAAAACAAATATTTTTGCCGTGGGCATAGGAAGAATTCTACTTGTGTGCTCAGCCTTGGCCACATGATAACCTTTATAAAAACAGAAACAGGACAGACCACACCAACAAACAAATACACACAGGCAGGATGTGGCTGGGCAACCTGATTACACGCACAAGATCCAGAGACTGCGCAGTAAAGCGCTGGGTCAGGAACACTTCTGCGGCCCAAGGAGGGCACCTTCAGGCTGAGGTCGAACCGGGGTCACCAAGGGTCCTAGCAAATAAATGTTAACATCCGTCGTTGCCCAGGAGCTGAGCAGAGCGTGAAGGGAACATGGTGGTCCTGGGTGGCTCTGATTAGAAGCACGTCTCATCCTGGGCATTCAGGGCTGACAACCCCTCCCTCCCCCTGTCATCCTTAGTTCTATTTTTTGTTTTTTTGAAACAGGGTCTCACTATGTAGTTCAGGCTGGCATCAAACTTGTGGCAATCCTCCTGCCTCAGCCTCCTCCAAAGTTCTGGGACTAGAGTGATGCACCACCACACCGGGCTCATCCTCAAGTTCTGAATCAGAACTTGCACTCAGCGGCGCTGGGATGGTCACCCGCGGGGACAGAGGGGCCAGGCTGTGCTGTGCGAGAATGAGATCCAGTGCCTGAGCCCGGACTCCCCCTACAGGCCTCTTCGGGTACAGCAGGCTGGGGAAACCCTGTCTTGGAAGGGCTCTAGGGTTACGAGGGAGTGTCAGGGCCAGGGTCAGGGCCAGGGCCAGGGTCAGGACCAGGGCCTGGAGGCCAGCTCTGCAGAGACCACTGCCATCCCATTCCTCGTGGCCAGTACTGTGACTCAAACCGTGAATCATTTCCTTGTTTGCTGCAAGCAAATTCTTATTCCATTCTACACCCTAAAAGGCTGTGAGTAGCTCTCTACCCAGATATTTGCTGTGACGTCTCTAGGGGCCCCGGGGACACCGACACGGGCTGCCCACGCCAGGGGGCTCTGTGGGGCAGCCCCGGACTTTCTCAGAATTCTAAGGGGTGCCACCCACGGCTGACCTTCAGAAACCCACCACCGGAAGAAACCAGAAAGGAGCATGTTTGGACCTGGCCCGCTAAATGACTGTTCCTTCCTGATACAAATTTTGTCTTTGAGAGCAAAACAGGAATCGATCACACAGTGGGGTTTCTATTTTAGATTTAAGCCAGAGCCCATCCTTGCAGTGTAGTGGCCTATGCCAGCCTCGCAGGGGACTTGCCCGCTGAGTAAAGATGGGCTTTCCCTGGCTGAGCTGGGGTAACTCTGCGCTTCCTGTCCAGGAGTAGCAATCTCTTCTCTGGAATGAGAGGGGAGGGTTGCTGGGGGGCTGCGATATGAACACACACAGGTGCTTTTCAGTCCCTTCTAGGGCTGGGTGTGTGGCTCAGCCAGTGCAGCCCAGGCCTACCAAGCACAGGCCTTGGATCCCATCCCCCCAAAACCAAAACCCACTTGTAGTCTTTTCTCTTTTAAATGTAAAAATTCACCCCAGGATCCAAGTGGCCGGGTTCCTCCCCAAACCGCCAGAAAAGCCTTTTTCTTTGGAGCTGGGGGTGGGGAGTGCAGGAGCCAGGTGTCGTCCCAACTTACCTGCTCTGGTCGTGCTATGGACCGGGGATTGTCCGAAACACCTGTCCTCGGGGACTCCCCGAGATGCTGTTGGCCCAGCACCAGACCAGGGGACCTGTGTTTTATGGGACGGGTGAGGCAGAAGCCTGGATTCCGACCTGAGAGGAAATGAACACAGCCCACCTTGAAGACTGGTGACCAAAGGGCCGCCCGGGACACAGACCCTGGGCCTGCGCCGGACTGTGATCGTTGGTGATGCAGGGGACGGATGTGTGGCCCTGTCACAGGGAACTGGCCCCTCTGCTGACCAGCAGTGCTGGCCAAGGAAGCCGGGCTTCCCAGGGACTGGACGCCCTGTCCCCCTGGGCTCTGCCCTGTGATTTGGGCTGCTTGCGGACCCATCCTGACATTTAGTCACAAGGTGCACAGCGTGGGTCTCGCGAACTGTAAACTGTGTGGTGGCTTGGGACACTGCCAGTCCCAGACTAGAGGCCCCTGGTGGGACCCTGTGTGCCCAGCTCCCTGAGTCTCCTGCTGGCCTCCAGAAGATGAACCCTAAATTCGAGAGACAGGGGCCGTGGGCCCCTGCCGCGGTGTCCAGGTAGACGAGGCCCAGTCGGCGCGCTCCCTCACGGGCGGA